GGCCGAAACTGGGGGACATGGAGCAGCCGGGTTCATAGTAGCCGCAGACGAAACTTGGGGCCATTGAAGCATCGATCCAAAGAATGCTGGGTTCACAGTAGGAGAAAGAGGAGCAGCCCAAACTGGGGGACATGTAGCAGCCGGGTTCACAGTAGGAGGAGAACGAGCAGCGGCTGAAACTGGGTGACATGGAGCAGCCGGGTTCACAGTAGCCGCAGACGAAACTTGGGGCCATTGAAGCATCGATCCAAAGAATGCCGGGTTCACAGTAGGAGAAAGAGGAGCCGCCCAAACTGGGGGACATGTAGTAGCCGGGTTCACAATAGGAGAAAGAAGAGGAGCAGCCGAGAATGGGGGACATTGAAGCATCGATCCAAAGAAAGACGGGTTCACAGGAGGAGGAAGAGCCACAACTGGGGAACATGGAAGCATCGACCCAAAGGAAGCCTGGTTCATAGAAGGAGGAGGAGGAAGAGGAGCCGCAAGTGGGGGAGATGGAGGAGGAGCCGTAACTAGGAGACCTGGAAGCATCGAAGCCAGGTTCACAGGAAGAGGGGGAGTTCCAAAGAAAACCAGGTTCACAGGAGCCGCCGCAGGTGGAGGAGGAGCCGCGGCGGGACGAGGAGGAGGAGGAGGAGGACGAGGAGGAGCCGCCGCAACTCGGGGACAGGGAAGCATCGACCCATCTCCTCCTCCGCTCCCTCGTGGTTGTGCCGGCAATGCCAACGTCCGGGGAACTATAGGCGGCGGCGCCCACTCAACGACGCACGGTCGGTCGTTAAAAACGTGCCCGTTCATGCCATCCCTGCAGGCAGCCGCGGCCATGGGGTCGTAGAAATCGACGATGCACATGCCATTCGATTTCCCGTTGTCCCACACATCGAATTTTATTTCCTTCACACGCCCATACTTGCAGAGCTCCGCCTCTATTTCGGCATCGGTGGTCCACCAATGGAGTTCGCCGACTAACAGAGACGTATCGCCGGGTTGTTCGCCGCCTTCATCAAGAAGCCCTCCGGTTTCTTCACTACCTCCGGCGCTACCAGCACCTCGGCTTGGGGAACCCAAAAGCTCATTTCCCTGAGGCGGCGTCGGCGGCACCGTGGAGGGGTCGGTCCGCCTCACATTTCCGTCCCGGATACCCACGGCTTCTTCGCTCCGGTTGAAGTCCTCGCCGATGTTGAGGTCGCCGTAATGTTCGTCGTACTCCACCGAACGGGACTGGTCGTGCGGAGACGTAAGGGATGGCGGTGGCGTGGAGGGGTCGACCCGCCTCTCATTGCCGTCGCGGGGACGTACGGCTTCTTCGCTCCGCTGGAAGTCATCGCCATGCGGTTGGTCGTCACCGTTGGCGGTACTTTCCCTCCGGTGCATTGTGGCTTATTCCGGGGGACGAGTATTTCCGGCAAAGATTCTCAAGAAAGAAGGCGGCAGAGTCTTGAACGGTAAGTTGTCTTTTCTCTCTTTTTATTTTGTGGTTTGGTACATATATATAGTCCCTAACTATTTATAAGATGCCCTTAATCCTCTTCTTATAATGATTATGACTTTAATCCTCTTGGTTTAATTATCATTAAGCCAATAGCGCCTAAGATTAGGATTTAGGACCAAGATTAGAAGTTAAACTATAAAAACAAGAATGGTAATTATTTTCTCTCTGCAAGTTGAGTATCACTAGATGGGTTAATCTCGAGTCTATAGAGAATAAATTCTTAATTACCGTAGCTGCACTGATTTTTAATTATGTTTATTTTAGCTCTCAAAGTGATAATCTTTGCAATTTTTAATGTCAAATGTAATTTGACCACTCGACATGCTTAATGCTGTAATGTAATCTTGGACTTTTTCTGTGCACGAAAACCTAATATATGATTGTGGAAAGATCATTTTAATGGATGGTAGGAGTATCTTTTGGATTGTTTTTAGAGTTAGTATTGTTAGGAGGATAAGAAATTTAAGTTGTATAAAAATAGTTAAAATATCTTGTAAATTGTATAAAAATTAGCATATCAGAATATGCTATAATGGCTCGAGTAGCTTTCCATTTTGATAGGGAAGGATGCGAAAGAACACTAATAAGTGAGAAAAAAAAAGTAAGAAATTTTTTGACATATTTATATGTATGTATATATATATATATATATATATATATATATATGAGAGAATGTACAATAGTATGATCTCATATAATGAAAACTTTAATTTTTTTAATGGAAAATAACACTTAAAAGTGATATTATGTTTTTTTATTAATCTTTAATTTTTTTTAAAAAAATATTTTTTTAAAAAAATATTTTATATTTAAATATTTAAATATTTTATAAATATCACATATATATCTTTAAGTATAGGGTGGAAAGATGTGATAAAACATTTGAGTTCTTCTACATTTTTTTCTCTAGTGGATGATTATGTGAAAGTATATTAAAAAAAAGAAGCTTGAATTGGGGTTTATTTTAAAAAAATTATGTTTTGAGTTTTATTCTTTCTTAATGGGATACTGTTAAAGTCACTATGCTGTAGGTGCTCTAACGAGACGAGACGGGACTCGACCACTTCAACTATGCATAGATCAAGCATCATCGAGCGAAAGCTTTCGGATTACTATCGTTGGACAGTAAGAAAAAGGAAGTCTTGCTCAAGTTAAGATCACTCTGATATCATGATAGATTTTTAAGACGTGATGAGAAAGACTAATTAAGTTTAACATGAACCTTTTGTCACTTTCTTTTCTTCGAAAACAACAATCTTTGCCCATAATTATCTCTCGATTCCAATAACCACAACATGATGCAAGAATGCTAATATTAATACCAACTAGACTACACCTAACAAAGATGAAAAGCGTAGAGAGAGAGTCTCGTATTCACAAAAGCTAAGCCACCAGCAAAATGACAACAAGAGGAGATAAAAGGCTACGGAACAAATCAGAAAAAGATACCACCATTTAATAGAAAAAGAATCATAAGTGTTGATATGGAGGGCATCTGTTTAAGCCGTGGCCTCGGGACCGACGTGGCTCGGTTCGGGGGTCCGGATGTCGGGGATCTCGGGCGATGTCCCTCGGGGTCTCCCGGCGGCCGAGCACGGTGGTTCGGGTTGGGGCCTCGGGTCGGCAGGTCGGGTCGGCGGTTCGGGTCGGCAGGTCGGGTCGGTAGGTCGGGTCGGCGGTTCGGGTCGGGAGGAAGCTCCGCCGCAGCGTCGGGAAGAGGCGACACCGTCTCGCACCTACACACAGGTCGGGCCGGGAGCTCGGCCCGACCCCTCCGACGATCAAGTTAGCGATGCGGATAGGGTTTTGGAGGAAGAGATGCCTCTGAGTGCGTTGTCCCTTTTCTCTCCCGTTCGTTTAGAGCTCTGGGGTATTTATAGATGAGTTTGATGTTACCTGATGTGGCTGCTTGCAGGAGGCAGGCTGATAGCGTCTGACATGGGGTTGGCGTGGCGTGAAGAACCAACCCTGAGTTAAGTGTTAATGCCGACTTCCTCGGGCAGTGTGTTGTCCAGGCATGGCTGACGTCATGGCATGTCACATCGTCATTTTTACCCTTATCATATCCCCCCCCGAAAGGAGCTATGCATCGGTTGTTGTATAAGAGGAGTCCGATGCATGGCTTCTGTCTTCAGACGGGCTGGCCGTGCGGACGAGGTCTCGGGGAGCATGGAGCCGAAGGGCCGAGGAGCACGACGCAGGCGGGCTGGCTGCGCAGGCATGTCTCGGGAAGCATAGGGCCGAGGAGCACGACGCAGGCTGGCTGGCCGCGCAGGCGTGTCTCGGGAAGCATAGGGCCGAGGAGCACGACGCAGGCGGGCTGGCCGCACAGGTGTGGTCTCGGGCATTATACGGCCGAGGATCACGACGCAGGCGGACATACCGCGCAGGCGTGGTCGCGATGGTCATGCGGCCGAGTAGCACGACGCAGGCGGGCAGACCGCGCAGGTGTGGTCTCGGGCATTATGCGGCCCAGGAGGTGGCCTCGGGCATTATGCGGCCGAGGAGGTGGCTTCGGGCAGCCTG